ACCTCACTACCAGCAAACTTGATATTGTCTTTAGTGTGGGGCTATGTGCAAGATTTTAGTCAAATCCCAAGGAATCTCATCTGAAGGCTGCCAAAAGAATTTTGAGATATCTTAAGGGAACACAAGACCTGGTCTAGTACTATCCCTCAGATGACAGTTTTAATCTTATTGGGTATGCTGATGCTGACTATACAGGTTATCTTGTGGACAGGACAAGTACTTCTGGAATGGCTCACTTTCTTGGATCATGTCTCATCTCATGGGGCACAAGGAAGCAAAACTCAGTGGCTCTTTCAACAGCTGAAGCAGAATATATAGATGCAGCTTCTTGCTGTGCTCGGTTCCTATGGATCAAACAACAGTTGGAAGATTTTGGTGTTTACTAACTGTGTGCCTCTTCTATGTGATAACACCAGTGCACTCAACATGGCCAAGAATCTAGTTCAACATAAAAGAACCAAGCACATTGATGTGAGACATCATTTTCTGAGGGTCAATGTAGAGAAAATGCTTATCTGTATGAAGTTCTACAGTACAGAAGAACAAATTGCAGATATCTTCACCAAAGCATTGAGTAGGGAGCATTTTGAAAGAAATAGGGTGAAGCTGGGGCTATTGAAGCCTAATTGAGAACCTGATTCCCATCAGTGGCTATGAAAGTCACCTTCGGGTAATATTAACTAAAGTGTTTTCTGGCCAAGTCTAACTCACTTCAATACCATTGTAGGTAGACACGAATGATGATTATAGAAGCTGTAGATGCATTGCATGGATGGTAAAAGAGGATTGAAATTTTCAAAAACAGGTCAAGAACCTAGTTCTTGTACCAAAGGTTAGTAATCCTGTGCATTCTTTAATACACATCTTTAAAAATGTGCAAATATCAACTGCCATGTCATCCCCCTTTACAGACTCTGTTGTTATGTCTTTTCATTTCAAATCCTTTCATCTCCCTCTAAAACGTTGCTACTCCCCACACACTACCGCCATTTCAGAATCGATTTATATCTCTCTCCCTCATAATTATCTTCCCTCATTAAAACCCTCTCTTCTCTTGACCGATCATATTTCTCTCATTAGACCTTCTCCAAAAATTCTCAACTTTATCTCTTCAATGGCTGACAATCAGTCCAAAATCCCTTCTCCAGTTGACACTAACCCAAAGAAAACCTTTGAATACTCCGTCCCTGATGAATCCTCTATCACCATTCCAGTTTTAACCACTGAAACCGCTTCCAACCCAGATTTCCTTTCACTCTCCAATTCTAATGCGACTATCTCAAACCTCTCTCTCCTTCCAAATGATAAGGACTCAAAAACCCCAAAAATCAATGATCCTTCGTCTCTATTATCTAATATCCTCAACGACCAAGGCAAAAGTGGAGAATAGGGTAAAGCTCCAAAGTTTGTAGAGGTTTCAGGCGCTAGGGTTGATCAACCTTCTGCCATTGTTGCTTTAGATTCTGTGGTGTCCATGGAGTCTCTAGAGGAGAAAACTGTCACAACTATTTTTGTTGTATTTACAGATGGAATAGTGCATAAGGTAGTTTCTGGTATACCCAAGTCTCAGAGGAATGAGACACAGGAGTTAGTGGAAGAAGGAGCCATAGTGCTGGTTGAAAGCTCTACACTAGCAAAAACTACTGGAACTTCTCGTGAAGGACCTGACCCCTCTCCGGAGAAAATAGGTCAAGGATCCCACTCCCAGGTCAGTTTTGCTCCTGCACCTTCTCCACACTTTGATGTTGAGCCCTTGGAAATTCTAGTTCCTAAAATGAGGTCTACTGATGAAGAAGATCAAGACAACATTGCTCTAGATGCATTTATTATCAAGCGAAGGCCAGTAATCACTCCTGAGTCTTCTACCAAGCGACCTACTACTAGGTTGAAAGAAAAAGAGGCTTATGAGTCTACCCTCCAAAAGAGCAAAAGGAGCAGTAAGAAGAAAAAGAAGAGGTTGGTGAAAAATGGTGAAGTAGTATGTGATAAGAGTGTCCCTGTGGTAGAAGTGGATGAGAAAGCAACAGAGGAACCCAGTTCATTGGTGAAAAGGTCTCAGAAGAAGCAGCAATTTGCTTCAGTAGAGAATGTTACAACCCCCAGTTCAAAGTTGAAAAATATTGTGAGTGAACCATCAATTTCTGATGAGGATGTTTTGGTAAAGACTAGTGGAAAAGCAAAATCAAGTGTTGTGAAGTTTGGAAGAGAAAGTTGGAACCTGTAAAGGAACCTGGTTCCAAAGAAAGTGAGAAATGAGACTAGGTCTGCTACAGAATGATTGAGGCACCAAAAGGTCTTATTGGGTCGCATTTTTGACCTAGCATTTCTAATATGGCTGGCATGAGACAAGTAATTGAGATGGTTGAGTTTCAACGGTGGGGGCATTTATTCCAAATGGATGCACCCAAGGTGTATGAGGATGAGGTTCAAAGCTTCTATGCCAACCTCTTTCCTACTGATACTGATCACATTTGTGCCTTGGTTAATGGGGTGGATATCGTGTTTGATATGGGTCTTCTTAGGGATATTCTGAAGGTCCTTACGGTTGGTGTGTCTACAGTGAAGGATGTATGCGGGTCAAACTTCAGAAATGCTAACGTGAAGGATAATGCAAACCAGATAGGGGAACGGGTTCACAAGAAGGCACTGTTCCCTATTTATTAGTTGCTCTTCGAGCTGGTGAACAAGGTTCTTCTACCCCGTGTTGAGAGGAGGTCCATGACTTTCAGGTCTGACTTGTATCTGATGGAGGCACTGGATGGATTTACACCTGTGAGCTTGCCTGCCATCATGACTGAACATATACAGAAGGTGGCACCTTTCAAGGATGACAATCATGGTCTTCCGTATGGGTTCCTTCTTAAGCACGTGTTTAAGTTCTTCAAAGTGACACTAGGACAGTGCAAAGTAGGGACCGAGAAGTAGACCTTCTCTCAAACAACTTTGGAGGAATATGAGTGCATCGAGAAAAATGGGGGGGTAGGTAGTACATCAACCATCTCTCAACTTATCAATGCTCAAAACAGCGCAACTGAGGAGATTCGAAGGTTGAGGGGGAGGAACGCTATCCTGGAAGGTCAGCAGGCCCACGGGGCCCCAGGGTCAAATGAGGAGATAGCTCGTTTGACAAAAGAAAATGTTGATCTCAGGGCACAAGTGGAGAACCTGAAAGAGAAACTGCTCACCGAGCAAACGTCGACGAATGCCCGAATAAATCTAGTTCTCCAGACCCTTGTTGCAACTTACAAGCCCTCTACTCCTAGTGCCCCCTAAACAACCCCTTTCAGTGATCAGTTTCTGGATTTTCTGTTCTTGTTTTAATGCCTTGGCAGTTGTTTTTGTTTCTTTTATTTTGATGTGGATGGGATGTACCTGTACTGCTCCCGATGACAACAGTCCAATCTTTGCCTTTGCTATATAGCAAAGGCATATGTTTTTTATATAAAAACTATTCTCTTTTGCTATCTAAATTCTTTTGTTCTCTGTTTCTCTTTTCTATCATGTTGTGTGCACATATGTGGCATGAGTTAGCTAGGCTAAACTTCTTTATGTTGATTGCCTGCTTGTGTATTTTTAATGATGCCAAAAGGGGGAAGTGTAATTAAAACTAGGATCTGATTAAGCGGGAAGCATAAAGTCAGGGGGAACTTGTGAAGTTCCTGTTGCTTCATCTGGTTATTTCTGTTCTAAAAATATGTTATCAATGTCTAAGTTTGTCATCATCAAAATGGGGGAAATTGATGGGTTTTCAATGTCTTAGCTTTATGTTTTGATGATCTAACAAACTTACTGTCAAGAACCAGATAGGGAACCTGACACACTTAGTATACATTGCTAATCAAATGACTCCAGCTAATGATAAATGCTGCAACTTTAGAAGATAGAGAACCAACATTAGGATCTGATCCCTTGTGTTTCCCTGACAGCAGTACGGAAGTCAACTGTGTACAGTTGGAAAGTGACTGCCACAGAAACAGTGCAACACAGTTCTGCATTCACTTGCCCTTTGACCAACCAAGTGCTTACATCATTCAAGTGATGTCATCCAAGGTGTATTAACAAGAGCATTACAACAAAACATCACTTGAACACTTGAGAATTCACTCCAAGCATTCAAGCCTTCTCAGATTCGAGCATTCAATTCTCAAGTGCATCAAGAACAAAGTTTAACGCTACTATGGACCAGTTCCTAAATCTAGTATTTTGTTGTCCTTAGTTGAGTTGTAACTTTGTAATTGTTTTTCATTGTAATTCCTAAGTTGCTTAGCTAGAAGCGTTGCTTAGGAATCTCTTTGTAAAACCATAAACCCTTTGTGTTTGTGTCGTAACTAGAGTTAGTCATGAGTTGAAGTCTTTGTAATAGGTGTATTGCAAAGTGGCTTGTAATAGGTGTATTACGAGTTAGTGAGGGATTAAGAGTTTAATTCCTAGATTGCATAGGTTGTAATCTAAAAGTTGCTCATAGTGAAGATGAAATCCTACCAGTGTAGGTCGTGGTTTTTTATCCCCCTGAGCAGGGATTTTTCCACGTAAAACTCCCTGTCTTGTTTTCTTACTGTTTCATTAACGTTCTCAATGGAAACTCATAGAGGACCTGGTACTCTATAGTTTGGTGGACTCATATAAGCTATCAAGATTGAATTCTAAATTCCACTACAAATTATTCGATTTATTGAGTTCGAAATTTGTTTATTTGTAATAATCTAGTGAATTTTTAAATACATATATGAGATTTAAATGAAAATTACTGAGTTTGGATAAATCCACAACGTACATCACCTACTCGTGCAATCTTTTAAGGAATTTGGAAGTGTGAAATTCTTTTATGCCGACCCAAATTTTGACAGGTGACTTTTTCTCAAATTCTCCTAGTCTTGAGGCCAAGAATGTGTTTTACCACTTACCTTACCATCAAGATTTACAGATGTCAGCATTGGATGAGTTCTCATATCTATAAATACTACAGAGTCTTCTTAAAACAAACACATCCAGCAATTGTAAGATCAACAAGAGTTTCAGTTTTAAATTGTATCGTTACTTGTTGTTTCTGTTTTTCCAACTTCAAAAGCAAATCATGGATAATTCTCAGAAAATTAGCTACCAAGCTGGCGAGACCAAGGGCCAAGCCCAGGTCTGCTTTGCTCTTCCTCTATCTCTTCCATTGCATTTATTCCTTTTTTCTGTTTAATTTCTAGTTATTATAGGAGTGTGTATGTATATATATATACACACTCCTATATATATATATATGATGGTCCCAATCTAAGTTTTAGAAATTTCATACCTAAGTTGTGGCATAGTTCTACGTTATTTCGACCATTAATAGTGTGGTGAGATGGTTGAGATCCTTTCATTCTTATTCAAATGTTTCGCATTTAAGTCCGCGTAATAAAAGTAATATTTTGGTAGGGAACACTCTTAGTAGACATATCCGACGCGAATGCCTAAGAAGAAAAAATGCTGTCTTTTCATGCAACATTTGTTTTTAGTTACTACTTCCTGGATATAACATTTGTAATATTTTGATGCATATCAGGAAAAAGGTAATCAGTTGATGGAACAAGCTGGGAATGCTGCACAGTCTGCCAAGGAAACAATGCAAGAGGTTTGACCATTTTTATTATTATCTCATTCATCTAAACTTATTTATCATGGATTAAAGATATATACATCAACAGCGTAAAATTAAATTTATACTAGCATAGTATCATTTTAGTTTAACCTACCGATAACATGTTACCAATTAGTAATGTTTATTATACATATTTGCTTTATTATAAGTGATTGATCGTATAACATCAACACATTTTGGAATTTAAACTTATATATATAATTAGTAAAAGATAATATGTTATATTTTTGGTGATATTTTGATATAGATGGGGCAGCAAGTGAAGGCCACTGCACAAGGAGCAGCTGACGCCGTTAAAAATGCCACTGGGATAAACAAATGAACCATGACATTGAATTTCACAATGTTATAGTTTATGAAGATCTTATTTCTTCTTATTTTAGGCTACCAATTTTTGCTTCTTAGGTTTGAATTATTTATTGAGAGGTTATATGTTTATGAATTATAGGAAGTGAGCGAGTATACTCAGTTCAAAGCTAAGGACGTGAGACTGCGCCTCAATAATATATTATTGTAATAATGTTTGTTTCTTATAAGTAGTTTCCCTACATGCATTTGAACACTTGCAGTATATAAATGTTATCCAAATTCACTTGGATGTACTGGCTTTACTGTACTTTCCTCTGCTTTTTAAGACCAGATTATCTGACTTTCACAAAATATTACTACTACAAACTTTTCTCAATATTATAGCGACAACCTGATAGAAATAATAAATAATTTGTATCAGTAATATTCCTTTTTATTTTAGGGAATTAGAAGTTTTCGACATGATAGTTCGATGCCTGTCTCAAACACAGGGGCGGTCCGGCCAAGTTGGTGGCCTAAAGTCAAACTTTATAAGGGGCCCTAACTATTTTTATTAATAAAAAATATTTTATTTTTATTTGAAATCTATTTTTCTAACTTTTTTAGATGCAAAGTTATTATTAATTTTTTATAATCAATTTCTCCTAATAAGCCTTTCTAAGGTGACAATATAGCCAATTCATTTAATATCTTTGAGACATTGTTGATCTTAGGTAAAGTTTTATTAGTTTTAATTTTGAAACACTTTTTTCAGCTGAAGCAACGGTAATAGGAGTTATTAACATTATTCTATAAGTAATATAGGCATTTGAAAAATAATCAAATCTTTTTATTTGATTGAGTATTCTTCTAATTGTACTATTTTTCTTAATATTTTTAATTCAGGAAATAAATATAAACTATCAATATCGGGTTGATTGTCATGATTTAGACAGCATTCATGATGAAGACAATACTTTTCAAATATCAATCATCTAGTGACCTCAGTTTTATCGCTAAATGGAAAATCAAAAAATATTTTCATATGCCTCTAATTATTCAAATCTATTTTAAAGTGAAAAATAACCTTGTCTACTACTCTCTCCGGTCCATAATAAGTGACTTTTTTGCTTTTATTTTGCTCCAAAATAAGTGTCTTGTATAATAGAGAAGAAATTAACTTTATTTTTTTAAGATTTACCCTTATTTACATATCTCAATGTGTCAAGTTAACAACATATAAATTTTAATTAAGGATAATTCAGTCAAATATATTTTTGTTCTAGGAGTCAGTATTTTCTTAAGGGGCATAGCAAAGGTTAAAAAGTCATTTCTTATGGACCAGAGGGAGTATGCATAAAAAGTAATTAACTCTAAAGGACTTTTCGAGAGATTTTGAGATTTCACTATTAACATTCTCCTCAAATTGTTTCTTCCTATATATTACACGTTTCTTATGAAATTCGGGTTTTATATTAATTTCAAATGCAATTTCCTTGGCAGAAATCAAAACAGTTGCAAATCCTTCATCTTCTTATTTGTTAAATAAAGAAATCAAACTTTTTCACTTCACATAAGTTTTTTTAAAAAAAATTTATATATAGCCTATTAGGTGTAAAAAAAATAGGGCCTCCATAAATATGGGGCCTAAAGCAGTTGCTTTACTTGCTTTATGGACAGGCCACCCCTGCTCAAATACTCCATCAGATGCACGCCAAAACAATTATTATTAGTAAGGAAATGATGTTCTATGACTAGTTACAATTTCAATATAAAAAAAATGATCACAGCGATCGATCTTTTGTATTTTATTTACTTATTTTCATCAATTTTCTATGAAACAGATTCATATAATTATTAAAAGATCATTTTTATTGTGATCCTTATTGAGTATAGTTATTGTTTGTACATTCTTTATTATGTTGTATACTTAGTTAGCCGCTATGCTTAGTTTGTTTAGTTAGTTAGTGGCTTAGTTAGTAATTAGCTTGGTCAAATGGTCAACATGTATATATATACTTGTACAGTTACTGAAATAGAATGAAGGTTCATTTTTACACAAAAACATTTCTCTGTTTATCTACTTTCTCTATTTCTTCTCTCCTCTTCTCTCAGAACCTTCCAGAAGACTCCATGGGAGCTCTGTAGATCTGAACTTGCATGTATGATTTTGTTATGGTATCAGAGCTTACGTATCAGCTCGAATCCCTCTCAGCGTTTCAAAACATAGTTTTGAATCTCACTTGAACTTCGTCGATCTCCAGAACTTCGGTTGTTGCCCAGTTCTGAAATTCGTCTCAAAATTGACGGTCTTTGATTCAATTGAGGGTTTTATACTTCACAATTTCATCAAATTGGAACCTCGCACATGGCTATCGATCAAAATGAAGAAACGAGCCCTAGCACGAGCAGAAATGACCAATTGGTCATTGATACTGGTAATCCCCTTTACATCCATCCTTCTGACAGTCCTAAAATGACCTTAGTACCAGTTCCGTTTGACGGAATTGGATATCGCTCATAGAGAAGAAGCGTGCTGCGAGCTTTGTCAGTTAAGAACAAATTAGGGTTTATAAATGGGGAATCTAGAAGACCTAGCCCCGATTCACCTCAATTCCGCCAATGGGAGAGGTGTGATGATATGGTGACCTTATGGATCCTCAATTCCCTCGCTATGGAGATTTCTGATAGTGCGGAATATGTAAATGACTCAGTTGAGCTGTGGAGGGAATTAGAAGATCGTTATGATCAAACAAATGGAGCAAAGTTGTATCATATTCAGAAGGAAATTAATGACCTTGCACAGGGTTCCTTAGACATTACACGTACTATACGCGAATGAAGAGACTGTGGGAGGAACTGAACACTTTGAGTGTCAAGTCTCAGTGCAGCTGCAATTGCACATGTGGGGCAAAGGAGACCATGCATAAGGCAGAACAAGATCAAAGGCTTATCCAATTTTTGATGGGACTAAATGAGGTATACACAATAGTGCGAGAAAGCATTCTCATGATGAAGCATTTACCTTCTATGGCTCACGCCTTTTCTCTGGTGATACAAGAAGAAAAATAAAAGGGAATTCAAGCCCAATAGTTAGCTAAATCTAGATTATACTTCATTTCATGTGAATGCAAGTCCACAACATCAAACTCCATTTGGAGCCAGGAACTTCAAGACACATTATACAGCCAACAACAATAATAAGGGTCGCCCATTCTGTGACTACTATAAAAGACCAGGACATACGAGGGAAAAGTGCTACAAGCTACATGGATACCCTCAAGGCAACTCTTATAGCAATCATAACCTCAATCGTGTCAATGCACAACCATACAATAAGGGGAACAACCAGAACTACAAGTTCAATAAGGGAAAAGGGTCTGTGGCAAATGTACACGGGACTCCAACTGATATAATTCATGAGAGTGGAGATGATCAAAACCTGCAAGATGAGAATCAGAATGTCAGCCTAACAAAAGAGCAATATGGGCAAATAATGACCCTGCTGCAGCATTTTCAAGTAGGACACGTGGGAGGATCTTCCAGCAATAGCAACATCACTACTGGCAGTGCAAACTTTGCAGGTATTGTTGTCTGTACTTCTTCCATTGATTTTGACAAGCCTTCATGCAAATGCTTTGAATCAAAGGCTGATCTTTGGATCATAGACTCTTGAGCATCTAACCATATGACCTTTAAAAAACATGCACTCACTAACATCACTAGATTACCCTATCCTCTATTATTAAGTCTACCAAATGGTTATAGAGTAAGAGTTCTTGAATTTGGAGATGTGATACTCTCTTCAGACATTGTCCTACATAGGGTTCTTATGTTCCATCTTTCAAGTATAACTTGATTTCTGTTCACTCCCTTGCAGTACCAGGCCCCTTCAGTGAAGAGGCCTCAGGTGATTGATAACGACAAAGAGGGTCTGTATTATCTCTGTTCCAGGTGCTTGAGGGGTAAAAAGACCACTTTGCCTTCTACTGTTTCAGTTTCTTACTACAATTGTATTCTTGCTCCCAATGTAAATAGCCATGAGTCTATTAGTCATGCTCATTCATATCACGCTCCTCAATCTGTAGATACTTTCATTTCAAATAATAAGAATGAGTCCTCATGTGTGTTTGATAAACATGATGTAAATTCTCTGTGGCACAATAGGCTTGGTCATGTTCCTTTTGTTAAGATGAAAGGAATATCCTCAATTCCTGCTAAGTTTGCACCAAGACAACCCTTCATTTGTCCTATATGTCCTATGGCAAGACAAACCAGACTCTCATTTCCTCAAAGAACCAGCACCACATCCAAATTGTTTGAATTGGTCCATATAGATATATGGGGCCCTTAGCATGTAGCCACCCATGACAACTACAAATATTTCCTTATACTAGCGGATGACTTCAGTAGATCCACTTGGACACATCTATTGAGTTGCAAAAGTAATGCTCTTCAGGCTGTAAAAGCCTTTGTGTCCATGATTGAAAACCAATTCAATACATCCATAAAGATCATTAGATCTGATAATGGCTTGGAGTTTACCAGCCATGAAGCCTCTTCATTTTACCAATCTAAAGGAATTATACATCAAAATACATGTCTCTATACACCACAACAGAATGATGTAGTAGAGAGAAAACATAAATACCTTCTTGAGACTGCCAGAGCTCTCATGTTCCAGTCCAAACTCCCAACCAGATATTGGGAAGAATGTGTTATGACAGCCACCTATCTGATTAAAAGGCTACCAACCACTTACCTTAACAACAAATGTCCTTTTGAGTTGTTATACCAAAAGAAGCCCAATTATTCTTATTTGAGAAGCTTTGGATGCCTCTGCTACCCCACTGTGCCCAATATATACAGAGATAAATTTGAACTAAGAACTACCCCATATATCTTTGTTGGATATCCCTTTGGCACAAAAGGATACAAAGTGCTAAGTCTAGACACCAAGAGAATTCACATTTTTAGAGATGTGATCTTTCATGAAAATATTTTCCCCTTTTCCTTAGGTTCTAATAATGCCTCCTTCCCTGCTATCCTTAAAACAGTCTCATTTCCTAATTATTCTGAGGACAGCAGTCAAGTTTCCCCTATACACATTGGACAAGGTCCTGACAGTGTCACATCTCCAGGGATAGAACCCCACTCTGAATCATTCACCAATGATACACCCTTTTCTAATGATAGTAGTCCACAGAATTCACCTACAGATGAACAATCAAAAGCACCAGTTCTGAGAAACTCCAGCAGAACTTATCAAACTCCTACCTACTTAAGAGATTATGTTTACCAATTACCTAGTAAT